AATTTCACTGTACACCACTTTGTTACTTACTAAAAATTGCAACGAAAGTTAACGTTCTTATTTCAAATGTAATCGAAAACTTTTGCAACGTGTAAAATTATTTATCGATTAATATTAATTAGAAACGGTATAAGTACGATAAATCCAATAAACTATTTCTTTTCTTTTTTTCCTACATTAAAAAACATTGTGCTATTTGGAAAAATTGTTTCACACGAACAAAATAACTCTAATAAACTAACGATAAAAATAAAACTGTGAAATATCTTTTCTTACAATACGTTCTCCATCATCGATAAAACGAAAACACGTGTGTATTATCGTTGATGATATTTTCGAAACGACCTGTACACGTTTACACACGGGTAAATACATACATATTTAGCTATTCAGTAGTATATAATATCACATGCAATTTAAATAGGATTGTCAAACACGTATCTATGTAGACAGTGTTCCTATTCTTAACGATGCTGTGTGTACGATAAATATGATACGAGGTAATCACTTAATACGTGCGCACGCACATGTTGCTTCACGCGAGAAAAACTTTTATCCGTACATTTCGAGCAGGAAAATAAAAGAAAGATGTTCACGCCTTGGAAATTGAAAAAGAACGTAAACGTCACTCGTATTGCTAGACCGATCGTTCTTTTCACCCTTTTGTTAAACATACGTTGCAGCGAATTTGCCTGCGTCGGTTTAAGGGAAAGCAGAGGTTCGCAGGAGATTTCCCTATGGTTTTGCACGATTCCGATAAAAAGAAACACGCCTTCCTCGTCGACTTCTACTCAATACACTAACTATCAAGACTTCGAAGCCCTTGCAATGTCAAGAAAAGCCAGGATGTTCTTGTTGCGAATCTGCAAAACTGTTGGATACCGCTAAGCTAGAAAGTATGTTCGTATTTACTACTTAGTTTAAGGATAACAAATCCCAAAATTCCCTTCCATCTCCCATCATCGACTCCTAGCAATATCTAAGAATGCCCAATGGACCTTTCATTACTCCGACTACCCCTAAAATCTGACCACCAAACTTTCTTTAACGACACGTAGAGAATATAATATATATTGACGTCTAAGCTCCTGAGGGAGACACTTAGAAGAATTGCTACAATACGGATCGAGAAACTATAGTCTAAACTGCCCTTACAACACGGTAAGACTTCGGTGTACAAAAGTTTAATAAAATAAAATGATTATTTTTTAAAACGCTAAGCATCGGAATCGAACAAAACACGAATTTAAATCAACGTTATTCGTATTACAATTGTATCTTGATAAAAATTGTAAAAAAGTAAGAATTTTGATCGCATCGTATGTGAAGTATCGATGAAATATAAACTGAGGATGAATTAAGAATGATTCGATAAAGGAATTATTATACTATAAAATAGTTGGAGATTTGAAGGAAATAGAAGAAAGATTCGTATCCGTGGGTGCTTCTTCTTCCATGGTGTCTACAAGAAGCTGGATATTTAAAAAGGCGAGCACACTAGCACAGATAATTCGGATGATTGCACGATATTGACAATTGTTCGAGCTAAGTACTATCGGTTAAGTAATAAACGACTCGCGTGATTCACGCTTATGTTAATAAGTATATTACCGTTCTCGGATTTTCAAATGACACCTTCTTCCTCTCTCCGCGAAATTACCAAACGGGACGCGTATATTCCTATCTATTGATATCACATTCCAAGTTACGCAATAAAAACAGCGGTAAAAGCGACTGGATGAAGCGGAAATGCCGACGAAAAAAGGGAAAAGAAGTTAGTCAGTAGTGGGAAGGGAAAATTAACGAGTTGGCTGCGTTTCACCGTGTTCTTTGCCGCGACAGTTAAGTTTTGCGTTAAGTTATGTACAAATTGGCATTATATATATCACAGTTACAATATAAACATGTCGACAAATGCGGAAGGAAATTCTGTAAAGCACTGCTTGCTTTCCTCTTCAGCTAAAACACCGCCACGCATAGCTTTTTTTTTAAATCACCTCGTCTCGACTTATTTCACGTTCCTTAAATGTATATAAACACAAGCGATAGTGATCATTTATCTTCGTTTCATTGTACGAGCTTTTCTTTAATGAGCGGATTCGATAATCTAGCCTATCCTAAACAGACACATATTTTTCATATTTTTTTGTTTTATCTATTTCTTTTAAATTTTCGCTAAACCTATACTTTCGATCCCAGACACGTGTTTTTCCTTCACCTTATCGTTTGTTTCTTTGAACGGAAGAAAGGGGGTGATAAACGACAGCACAGACCACGTACGCACGTGTCTCTTCTCCGGTGCTTGCTTCACACCTTCGATTATAGCAGAGAAGGGAAGAAAAACCAAGGGAGGGGGACAAAGAGGAACGCAAACAAAAAAAAAAGAAGTATC